ATATATAATCTACACTTAAACCTTCAGAGCTTTAGACACATTTATTTTTTACCAATATCTACACTTGAGTTTTGATTGGAATATCTCTGTGTATGATTTTTTTTTTGTATTGAGGTGCATATTTTATAAAATTTATAAATTTTCCAGTAAACTGTAAACACGTGCAAACGCACAATCTCTTCTATTGATCAGTATTAATGCCAACCGATTGTCTCCTCCTCAGCACTAGCATCAATAGGGCATTCTCTTTGAATATATGTGCCTGTTGTTGTTCTGATGAAGTAGCACCGATTCCGTGTAAATATGCGGACGTCGGTTGCTCGCATACGGTACGTCTTTTTCCCTGTCGTATGCAGGTCCATCTGAATGTTTTAAGGAATCTTGAACCCGATATGAGATACGTATTGAATCATGTATATGTATGTATACAAGTTTTCCTCTGTACAGTCGGATGTTTGTTGCATCTGTCTACTCGCGAATTTAACTTGTCTGGATACACGTGCCGGTACGTGTGCTGTGCGTCTTACGTACACTGCACCATGTATTGTATGGGCGAAAGAATGGTTACGCGCCTGTCATAGACTACATTTTGTTTGTATCTTTCGTTTGTATCGTTAATCTCGTAATAGTGGATAGTACTGCGTATCGCCTACCCGAGAGAAAACTGCAAAAAATAAATATCGACCAGTATATAGTCGCACGTCTATTACCATAGTTATGGACGCTCAAACTCTATGCAATATGTCATGACCAGTGTGCTTAGTTCATGGTGTCGAAATCTATGTTTATATAATAGGAGGGAGCCTACAAATCGAGTTCGTATCAACTGAAGTGGCGTTACACTCTGATGTCAGCGTATTTGGATACCGTAAATGGATTGGGCCAATGTATTACGAGTATTCGTATCAGAGGTTTTAGACCAATCGACGTATATTTCCGCGTCTGTACCATCAATGTGATGCCAGTGTTGACTTAGTTATCTAATGCTTTTGCACGGCTTATTTGTTGTGATACGCTTCAGTCGAGCAGCAAGGCGATAGCAGAAGCACATGAGATGGTGAGCATGGCGCTTCATTTAGATATGGCCATGCGCACAGTCACAGACCTGCGGAGTGGCAAGCGATCCGATAAATCCGACAAATCCGACAACGCCAAGCCACTACCGCTAAGCGGATACTCGGCCCACGAGCCCATCCACCGACCCATACAGCTGGACAACTCAGACGATAGTAGCAACGACGAAGACGAGTGCAGTGCCTGCCATGAGGAGGGCGAGTTGTTCAGATGTGGGGGGTGCCGTAAGCGCTTCCATGAGAGTATGTGGATGCATTTGCGTCGTGAACTTTTATATTTGTGTTTGTGTAGCTATCCATGGGTATGATTTATTGACAATACTTGGGGTTGGGACTGCTACGATAGCTGTGAAGACGTACGATAGCTGTGAAGACGCGGATGGCTACAGTGTGTACCACACTGTACTTCAAATCATCCTCGTGTCTTGGTTGTGATGTGTATGTATGGCTGTTTAAGTACTTGTGTACGCCTTTCCCAATGTGTTTAGTCTGGGGCTTCTCAGGGTGCTTAAGCTTTGACCATGCGCGTACTTTCAGCCCTCATAGTTGAGCGATACATAAGTTCTCTCCTTGTAATGTTAGCGGTCACGTGTGGCGAGTGTGAGTTGTTCAGGCAATCCGGGATTGAATGAACTCGGAAGTCTAGTCACGAAACTGTCAAGGTTGTGGCCGATATTGTTCTATGCTACAAAATCAGCAACAACCATACCCCACCTGGGCTCTCAGAGTATCCGTTTCATTACTGTTCGCGTCTCACAATTAATGGGTGCACAACATCGTAAGGTGTGAGAGCTGCAGCTAACTTGAAACAGTGTTCTCCATCCGCACTTGTCTATATCGATCCTTTGTCCCTGCCTCTTTATGTACAGATTATTTCGATTCTTCATCGTGCACTTGTTAGCTGTCTCACGTATAACGGGTTGTTTACCCTGTCTCAGTTTATCTGACACTCTAGTAAAACGCTCTAACGTTCGTTCGTTTGTCAATTTGAGTACTTAAAACACCTACTTCTACCTTGCACTTTGTCAGTGTGCGACCCATTGCCACCTGATGTATCGATGTCCCAGCTGCTTCGCCGGAAGAAACGACGATGTGGCTATTGTGAAGCGGTATGCATTGGACCATTCGAGTTTAATCGCACACGTGTCGCGTATATCGGTGGATCAGATACTTGCCAAAAAACCGTATATCTATATATAGACACACCTACGAGAAGAAGTAGTCTATTGTACACACTGTTCTTGTTATCAGAGTTTGTCTGAGCGAGTGAATATAAACAAGTGACTGAACAAACGAGTATAAACTCGTCTTTGTGGCAAGCGGAGCACGAATGATTCAGCATAGTTTGGAGTCGGACTTTCACGACCTCGAGTGAGTAGTACACGTCCCTGCCCTATCGATATGAAATGCACAATAGAACCCACGTATACGCCATCGCATTAGCCGTCCTGTACTTGAGGATAGGTTTCTTGTGTCCGCTCGTTTCTGTTTAACAAATCGCTTGCGCTTGCTGATCTGCCGTTTATTCTTCATTGTGTATAGGATTGAGTTATACTGTAGCATATCCGCTCATTGACTCTGCGTTTTGTGCTACGTAATACGAATGCAATCGTACCTTGTCAAGGCGCATGACTGACTTTGACCTCCGATTCTATTGCCAATCCAACGAACTGCACAGACCAAGCCACGCGAGCAGCCAGACAAAGACCTCAGCGACAGGGATACTGTGCATGATCTCATGGACGATAGCGACGACGAGAGCTCAAATGACGATGACTTGGATGGTAACCTCGAGGGATTCATAGTTACCAGCGACAGCGAGGTTAGTGACGGGGAGAGGGGTGATTACAATAAGGCTAGTGTCAAACCAGTTAGTGACTCGGATGTGGGCGAGAGTGATTTTGATCCCGAAAGTGATCACACTGTGGCTACTAACAACGATGTCAGGGTTAATGGGAGCAAACGCCGGATTACACGTGGTTATAGTAGTGGTAGCCATGGCAACGGTGGTATCAGTGTTGTGGAGATACAGCACAGCGATATTGATAGTGATCATAGTGTAGTCAATTTACACAACACGCGCACCAAGAAGATGCGCCAGATTGAAAGCGAGCTAGAGAGCGATGCCGAGAGTATACCCTCCGATGCTGAACTCGACATGGTTGTGGTCGATGAGGGCAAGAATGGTAGCGACCGTGACGGGAATGTAGCCAATCATGATAGTGATGATGTTGTAGATGATGGTAACCATAGCAACCTGAATGTTGTTTCTATAGCACACGAGGGTGACCATAGCGACCAGAATAGTAACCATAGTGATCAGGACAGTGAAAGTGATGATAACGAGATTGAAAAGCATGCTATTGAGAACATGTCGGACAGTGAGGCCCAGGACAGTGGCGAAGATAGCGACGACCAGATGATGTAGAAGCAATGCAGCGAATGGGAAGGAATGTTCAACTGGAAGTGATTCAAATAAACAACACTGTGGTCTGTATGATGCGTCTCTGAAGTCTACAATTCTTTTATATAGCTTGTAACTAGGCTTGTTAAATATATATAAATCCTTTACCTGTCGCACGACATGAATTGTGCTAGATATTAGAGAACATCGCGTGGCGCAACAAATTCGCGTTTGTGTCTGTGTATTTGAGCTGTTCTGATATCCCTGTCTCGCAGACCTCAAAATTTGATTTAAATGATTCTATAAAATATCATAAGGAATACAAATAGTTGGGTTTGTTTTGGTGATATTCACCGAATTGTTTTGTAGAATGGTATGCGTATACGTCTTCTTCACAGCAATGGGATAGATTCGACAGTTGGTGAAAACAAACTAATCGCTCAATCAGAAGTGCAACAAGTCGATACTGTATTGGAGTTTTCCACATATTTTGGATACGACAGTCAATCAATTCAATATTAAGTTCATGTGATACTTCCCTTGAATAGCAGTAGTATATCTACATGAAGCCGTATTTAACCGTGGTTCGCATGGAGATGAAGAGTACAGGATAATATCATCACAAGTAGTCATGCTGCAAGTATTTCGAGATTTTATAAATTCATATTCATTCACTCTCTCACACAATATAACTGAAACAAGTCGACATTTCACCTAGGTCTCTGGAAATCTCCTGATATCTACGCAAACTCATCATTCATATTAAAACGAGTTTGATTAATTCATTCCACATTGAAAGCGACACGACCCATGCTTTCTTACAATCGGAATGTATTTCTTACAACCAGAACGGCCAGTGCCAAAGCAGAAATCCTCAGGGCTCTTGAATATATCTCCGTAGTTGATGAAATAGTCCCAATAACTCTTGGATACATTTTTTTTGAACCTTCAGCGAATCCCTTCCAGCAGGTAATCTTTTGTTCTGCCAATAATAGAAACGACAAATAGTGACAATTATTGCGTATTTAGCATCCAAGTAGTGTTTGTTTCAGCCAGACTCACAAGTTTTGATGTCACAATACACAAAAAGAAAGTACACACTGGAAAAATAGTTCCTGCTGGCGAAGCGGTCATCGAAAGCTCCATATTCAAAAGTAAGTATGAGATTGTTGCCCAACGAAAGCTGAATAGCAGACAAGCAGATGTGAAGTATATCAGTTCAACTTATACTATTAGTAGAACGAATCACTACGTTATTGAGAAATTTACAACAATCTATAAATCTAACCAACAGGATCGCAGGTTTGCATAATGTCAATTGACCGGTGTTATAGAAAATAAACTCACAGCTTCGTATTTACACATAGTGCCCAGGGCCAAGCCATGTAGTTCATTATTGGTAAACAATAGCAATATCTAACAGAAACTACGTTAAAATCATAATCTCTGTCTATGGAAGGATTTTCATGCCATGCTTGATATTTTTCTGCGAAATATATATATATATATATTATTTATTTGATACTGATTCATTAATTAATCGTAAAGCGTGCAGAAGCTACAACTTAAAACTGGAAGTCGGATCGGTTGTAAACATCTGACGAGTGGGCTTCCTTCTCGCAGTATGACTGGGTGCACTTCTTCAAGTCACCGCACTCACCAGACCACTGGCAGCACTCCTTGTTCTTGTGGATGGGACCCTTCAATGCGTCAGGGTTACGCTCACGCTTCTCGGCACAAGTGATCTTGTACTCGTTCTTACCACTGCCAGAGCTGCTAGAGGCTTTGCAGTAACTCTCCGTGCATTTGGACAGATTGCCGCAGTTTCCAGAATACTCGCAGCACACCTTGGATTCGTCGTATGATTTTCCAGTGAATCCCTTAATACCACAAGTGATCTCCTGCTCGGAGGTGTGGGCGCTGACAGCAACAGCAACGGCGGCAATAGTGGCGATGGTGGCGAACTTCATTATGCAAATTATTGATTTTTGAAATATATAGTTGAAATGATAATTGTATCTAGTGCATGGTGGCTTTTATACGATATGGGACAGCATAGAGGTATCTCGTTTTGGTTCGCAGGAAAATAAAATAGTATAGTGTATACTGTATAGACTGAAGCCTGAATGGTTTGCCGCACTTGATAAAATCAAGCATACATAATCTCGTGTATTTATTAGCAACTTCATATTGTCAACAAAAACGGAAAAAAACAAACAATCTTCGTATTTCGGAATTAGATTTTGTATGTCGATTTTAGTATTTAGTAATCACATTTACCACTCCCCACGAGTTCTGAGTTTCTGACTCTGAACCCTGAGTTGCTTTGGCAGTTGTAATTGTTTTTGTAAAAAGTTATTTCTAGCACTTCAGCCGTGACTCCTGTGACCGTGAGACGTGAGTCCGTGAGTCAGACCAGTCAGACTCAGGCACTCAGCCCACAACGGCCACAAGTCCACGACTTGTTACATGACTCTCACTCATGTCTCACTCATGACTGGTGACTGATGAGTGATAAGTGATGAGGCATCATCCAGGCTCCAGTTATGTATGCTTTCATTGCTTTGCCCTTTGTTTCAAAAAAGGACGAAGTACATATGTAAATATAACCTAACTCCATACATACATAGGGTTTGTTTTAAAAATAGCCGTTCCCGAGGGTCGTGCAACTATAAAACTTTATGTATAATTTAGAAGGCTATGAACTTGAATACTCTTGATACCAGTTTTGAAAGGCGAATGCATGTGATACTCTCATATTTTAAAAAAGCGCCATGGATTATAACCTTGATTCTATCATGGTCCGATGAGTGCGGTGACATGAAAAAGTGCACCCAGTTATACTGCGAGAAGGAATCCCACTCGTCTGATGTTTACAAAAGATCCGACTTCCAGTTTTAAGTTTTAGTTTCTGCGTGCTTTACGATTAATGCATAAATTAGTACCAATTTTTATATATATACATCGACATACTTCGCAGACACATCGAGCATGGTATGAATAGCCTTCCATAGACCGAGATTGTGATTTAATATGGCTCTTGCTATACATTGCTATTGTTTGCCACTATTGAACTACATGTCTTAGGCACTATGTGTCAATACGGAACTGTGATAA